ACTGTGCTGTAGGTCAATGTGTGAATAGAAAGAGGATTATTTTGGAAAATTTCAAAAGTGTGTTTTCCAGTTTGCATTATAGCTGTGCTGACTAAAATAACTCTTTATTGTGTTAATTTTATGTGTAAAAAACAAATGCATGAGCCTCATCTAACATGGCAAGAGAATGACTATAGTGAGTGACCTTCAGAAAAGGCCTTGATACATAACTTCTGTTTGTGGCGTTGTTAGTCGGTCACCCTGTAATGTTTCCTCAACAGCTTATTAATAATAGTAGAATTAAAATTCTTAAGAAACATATTTTAACAATGGGATATTATATGGAAGGGGTGTAGCGATACACAAATGTTGACTTGTATTGTGGTTTTTGCATCATGATATTTAATTTGTCTTTTTAATTGATTATTTTGATTGTCCAAACAGTGAATTATCGGCATTTTAAGATGCAGTGACATGGTATAGTTTTGCCAACTGTTAGGGCAGCGCTGATATTCATCACTTTAACACTGTGCCCAAATCTCATACTGGATTTACTGTTTCCATAACAGCTCCCCCTTGTGGTGAACCTTCAGTCTGATAAACCGTGAGGGTGAATTACATGCCAGGTCCACGAAATATGGTGGAATCACAGGACGAAACAGCTGGACAGCACATATTAGCATTAGGCACATCAACCTACAGATAAACAGTAATCTGCACTGCTGATTGGCTAACCGTAGTGCACTGAATCTGATGGAGAGTTTGGAATCCACAGTGGCGCTGTGACCACTGCCCTGCAACATACATGAAGACCACCGTCACATCTTCTTGTTGTAAATATGATGTATGAAATTGTCATTCACCCAGCTTTACAGATGTAGAAATGTTTATAAATACACTGCCTGATGTCTGAGACATTGTTTTATGGTAGTTTTGAGAAGATTTTGGCCTAAAACAATTTTTTACCCATTCATAGTGGAGGGATACATGTACATTCTATACAGAACCATGTTATGCTTTTGCATGGTGAAATGGCTCTTTAGATTGATGGAGAAAGTGTTGTATATGGTTTTACAAAAAAAACGTTTTTATAATGGTTCTATATAGCACCAAAAAAGGGTTCTTCTTTTGTTAAACATTTGATATCATAACAACAGCAGAACGCTTTTTGGTGCGATACCGTGTAGAAAAATAGAAAAGGAAAGACAAGTTCCTGGGCACTCAGATGGCAGATGGGCTTTTAAAAAGTGAAATATAAATGTGAACATTTTTCAGTTGCAGTTTGTTCTGGTGGAGGGATACATGCAGGGTGCTGTGAGGCAAAATAGTCCCCAAAGAAAACTGTTGTTGTAAATATGATCTCTAAACTGTCATTCACCCGGTTTTACAGATATATATCAAAGCAAAAAGTTAGGTATGTAGTACACTCTTAAAAAGAAGGTTCTGCAAGGGTTATTTATAAAAGGGAGTTGTTCTTTTGAGAACCATGAGATCTATACAGAACAATTTAATGCTTAAATGTTTTTTTACATAGTAAGATAGTTCTTCAGATTAATGGGAGAGTGTGTTGTAAATGGTTCTATATGGCACCAAAAAGGGTTCTACTATTGTTAAAAGTTTGACATCATAACAATAATGTTTTTTGTGCGATACAGTGTAGAAAAATAGAAATGGGAAGTCATGGATGACTATTTGAGAGTTCCTGGGCACTTAGGTGGTCTTTTAAAATGTTAACCCCTTGTTGTATCACCACCACCATAGTGAATCTAACAGAAATGAAGAGAACATCACACATTTCAATGAGAGATTTCTTTATAAAATAAATTTGGGAAAAACACTTTCAAAAACAAAGTACAGTAATAAAAAATGAATATTTAGACACGTCATGGAAATATTTAGGCGATTAATACAAATGGCTTTGTTTAAACACTTTTCAACTTTAATCAAGCCAGTTCTAGCTTTCCACTAGATTTGTGCAAGGCACTGAAAAGAGTTGTACAAAGGCACACAGCAGACAGAAAGAGAGGAAACTACTGGGGAGAAAAGATGATGGATCAGGGAATTAAACAAGGTTATATTTATAAGCATAATTTCTGTCCAATAGATAACAAAATTAGGGATTTCACGTTTTTACAGGGGAAACAAAACAAACAAACAAATCTAGGCTGTTTTTGAAAATCCCTGAATTTGAGAAATGCCGGAACATCTTACAATGAACACAAATATTGTTTTGCACATGATGAATAAACACATACATAACAAGCCCATTACAAGCCTGATACATTCTCATTAGCAGTTCTAACTTAACCTACACTATTCATGAAGCTTTAAAACACAAAAGAGAGACGATTGGTCTGACACTCAAAAAGCAGGTACATTATTTCAAAAACATGTCATAGAAATAAACAAATGGAAATATATAAGTGAAAATATACACAAGCCACCAAAAGAAGATTCTTCATGGGAGATAAAGTATACATCTATAACAATAATGGTCAAAACGCATGCACAAGTAAACATTATGCTATAAAAAAACAAAAACAAAACAAAAATGACTAAACACACAAGTTTTCTCACAATCATTCTAAACACATTAGCATCCTGTGGCCTTTTCCAAATCTCTGTTGCCATAGGTTAACTGCTACATTTACAGAGCCGTCTAAGCAAGACTATCATTGAGGGGTCATAATACATCACGGATTTGTTATTATAATCCTATTCCTTTTCATCCAAGCACCTGAATAAAATGTATTCCCAGAGGTATGGCTGTGTATCCTAATAGCTATTGCAACATTTTTGTAGGAACACATGCATGCATACACATGCACACATTAAAAAAGTGTGAATTCGACTCGTTTTTCACATTTTCAGCATAATTAAATGGTTAATATGTAAACAAAGTCATTCAGAGTGGTTTGGTGTGAAATGCTCCGTTCCAGAGTCAGAATTGTTCACAGTGGTGGTGATAGGAACCAGACGTCCACTTCTAAAAGCTCCCTCACAGAAAGTTATACACTGCCTGATGACTGAGACGTTATTTTATGATCTTATTATCTAAAACATATTGCAAGGTGGAGGGATACATGCAGGGCGTTGTGGGACAAAGTAGTCCCCAAAGAAAACGTATTATTTCAGATTTTCCACTCATGGGAAATTCATTTTCCCGTCATCCACATTCAATATAAAACTCAGAAGACAAGTGTAGGCTCACTGGTGGTTTTGGATAGTAAATAAAATGTCTATATTTGTGTTGTAGTCATGGCGACCCCTGGTTCCTATCACCACCACTGTAAAAAAATCTCAATAGTTAATCCAAGAAAGTTGCTAAGTTTCTGTATATTGAATATTTATGCATCAAATCACACCAAGTGACTTTATGCATCTCAACCACTGAATTATCCAGAAATCTTGAAAAACTGGAGGAATTCCCTTTAACAAAATGGCTTTGGCTTCTGTTTTGGTTTAATCTGGAGCAGTGGTCACCAACTCAGGTCCTGCAGATCTACCTTCCTGCAGAGTCAAGTTCTCCAGCTAATTAACTTCTTCTGAAGTCTCCAGTTTGCTGTTAGTGTTACTATTAGGTGGCATGTTAGATCCAGGACCTCCAGAAGGAGGGTGGGGTGAGTGACCACTGATCTGGATGAAGTGTACTGTGTTTCCTTCAAGCCACATGATGTACACTGAAAATACAGCTGCAGTTTGGCCTCAACAAAAGCAGACTAGGTCAGTATGCACACGGTTCTCACTGGACAGACAGTATTCATTCAAATGTGCTAAAACTGCAGGCCATTATTACCCTGTCACAACTCCGGATATCAGTGCATATACATCAAACTGATGAGACATTATTGGCCCTGCGGTTTAATCTAGTACTTAGTACAACTGTACAGAAAATGGCTAATGCAACGGACAATGCATGCTGGCTAGGATGGCTTAATTTCATGCATTATTAGCTGCATTAGTATTTCTGGGTCTAGCATCACTTTGCTATGAAAATGAACTGGTCTGCACAATGAAAAACCTCAGATACTGCTAGTCTTGGAAACCTTACTCTGTTTAAATTTCAATTCTGAACTCATTTGAAGTTTTCAAAGTTGCTTTAAAGGCACAACAGAACTGACCTTTCCAAGCTCCGCCCACAAAAGTTATCTTCGCTAAGTAGGAAGAGTTGGATGAGAAATAATAATGTTAAGCTTTCAGTTTATAACACTGTGCTGAGCTGGACTGTGGTAGCTAATCCAAATTTGGTACATTGGAAATGACAATGACGAACTTGCCACCATGCTAACGTTAGCTGGATTACACAACAAAAACCCATGTTAATGATCATGATGAATTTTGCGTTAGGATTTTGGCAACTCAGTTGTGCATGTCTTGTAAATTTTGTCCAATATTGCAGCACTTGGTATGAAAGAACTCATTTGTGGGTGGAGCATGGATACAGCACTGTGAAGTTAGAGACACCTTTCATTTATTCAATTTCCAGTCATTTCCAGCTATTTAGGAACAAAGGAGGACATATATTCAGCAAAACATTACACAGAAGCCTTAACAATTCAATCTGATATCAGCTGTTTGAGTCTTCAGAGCGTCACTCTTTACCTTTATTACAGCTTCCATTCTTTTCAGGAGACTCACTTTCAGTTTCTCAAAGAAATCTGCAGACACACCTCCAAAGTTCAGTCTTAGAAGTTGGTTGATCATTTTCTAAAGTAATCCAAACACATTCAGTGATGTTGAGGTCTGGACTCTGGGGTCAGTCCAATGTTCAGCTTCTTTGTTTGATTTGCAAATGTCCTTCTTTTTTGTCTGTTTTAAGTACTGTTTATCTGAAGGGGACAGTTTTGGTGTCTACCAGGTCTTCCAGGTGCTTGTAAAGAGGCCCATAGCTGTTTTGACTGGAAATTAAATAAATAAAATCTCTGACATTGCATTGTGGATCTTAAGACAGTTTATAACAAAAGAAAACTATTTGGCCTCTGTTTGAGTTGCAAATGGAAAGAAGAGCAATAATAAATAAGTAGCAAAAATCTCAATACTTTTGTATTGTAAAGAAGACCGTAATGAAAACACTGCAGAAAACAGATAGAAGTCATACAATATACAAATCAGTAGGGACAAATTTTAAGCATTAACATAAAAAATAGTGCACACACACACAAGTTAAACATGCAACACACAAACGCAAACATGTACACAAGCCCTATAAGATGTCAAACCTTATGGCTATGTCCCATTAAGGATATGCATTACATTCTGTACTGCATTCTTGCATAATCTACTTCAGCACCAGAAGAGCAAAATAAAGAAGAGCTTTGCGTGTATTTATATGTACTGCATGTCCATCCAACACTATAAAGAGGTATGAAGCTTTCATAATGCTTACGATTATGATTATGGCTCATGAGAACAGATTTATGGACTGACATCACACTGAACTGGGGAATGATCCAGTAAGGCACTCTCAGATTTTTCATTATACAAGTGCATTTTAACAGAGTAAATATACAAAAATGTAGCACAAAGCTAGTAATGTTCTTTAATTATGCAAGAAATATTGTATTAGCTGGTGTATACAGCTTTGAGCTCGTATTGGATGCATGCCTGAAACAATGTCCAATTTGGAGTACTGTGGCAGCCAGACTGGCTGATCTGGATGCAGATATGATTTGGTCCTTGTATATAGTTGCCCTGAGTGAAAGGTTTGGTCTGCCCTGAACTACAGACGTATCATGTCGCCTTTGGAAGAATGTTTGAGCGCTTATGATGCAAAACTGAACCGTTTACACACTTTAATAGACCCTCTGCTAAGCCCCTCCCCTCTTGGTTACTGTTGCTGTGTCTGACAAACCTTGCAGCTTGGTTTGTTAACTTGTGCTGTTTTCTATTGCAAATGTAGACGATTCAGCCTTCAAGAAAAATTTCAGTTTAAGAAAAAAAAACTGCTGCTGGAACTCGCAGAGCTTCAAATAATGTTATAGAAAACAAAACAACTCAAGACTTGATTTTGACTCCAATGTCACAGACTCAGTACTCGGTTTTGCTGTCTAGAGACTGGAGACTGGACTTGGACTCGCACCTCAGAGACTCAAGTCTCGACTCGGACTTGCACTCCAGAGACTCAAGACTTGACTTGCACTCGCACTCCAGAGACTCAAAACTCTACTCCCTGTTGCACTCCAGAGATTCAAAACTCTACTCCCTGTTGCACTCTAGAGACTCAAGACTCGACTCAGACTCTTACCTCTGAGACTCAAGACTTGACTTGGACTCGCACTCCAGAGACCCAAAACTCTACTCCCTGTTGCACTCCAGAGACTCAAAACTCTACTCCCTGTTGCACTCCAGAGACTCAAGACTCGACTCAGACTCTTACCTCTGAGACTCAAGACTTGACTTGGACTCGCACTCCAGAGACCCAAAACTCTACTCCCTGTTGCACTCCAGAGACTCAAGACTCGACTCAGACTCTCACCTCTGAGACTCAAGACTTGACTTGGACTCGCACTCCAGAGACTCGAGACTCAACTTGGACTCTCACCTCTGAGACTAAAGACTCAATTTGGATTCACAGCTCAGAGACTTGAGACTTGACTCAGACTTGCACATCAGATTCTCGAGTCCTGATTTGCATTCGCACCTCAGAGACTCGAGACTCTACTCCCTGTTGCACTCCAGAGACTCAAGACTCCACTCACACTTGCACTCCAGAGACTCAGTACTCAGTTTTGCTGTCTAGAGACTGGAGACTTAACTTGGACTCGCTCTCAAGAGACTCAAGACTTGACTCGGACTTGCACTTTAGAAACTTGAGACTTCACTCTGAGTCACAGCTCAGAGACTAGAGACTCAACTCGGACTCGCACCTCAGAGATTCGAGACTCGACTCAGACTCTCACCTCAGAAACTAAAGACTCTACTTGGACTCACACCTTGGAGACTTGAGTCTCGACTCGTATTTGCACTCCAGAGACTCAAGACTTGACATGGACTAGCACCTCATAGACTCAAGACCTAACTCAATCTCACATACCAGAGACTTTACTAGAACTTGCACCTCAGAGACTTGAGACTCGACTCTCTGTCATACTCCAGAGATTAGAGACTTGGCTCAGACTCACACACTAGAGACTCGAGTCAGACTTACACCTCAAAGACTTGAGACTCAATGGTGACTTGCATCTCAGAGACTGAAGAATCAACTCAGACTCACAGCTCAAAGACTAGAGACTCAACTCAGACTTGCACCGCAGAGACTTGAGACTCGACTCAGACTTGCATCGGATTCGTATCTCAGAGACTTGACTCGGTGTAGCATTCCAGAGACTCGAGACATGACTTGGACTCACACACCAGAAACTCAAGACTCAGATTTGTAGCCCAGAGACTGAAGACCCATTTCAGACTCACAGATCAGAGAATCGAGACTCAACTCTGACTTGCACCCCTGACTCTAAAGTTCTGAAACCTTGTCAGATCTGCACAGGTCTTGCTACAGTTGCTAAGCTACGATTTGTCAGTCTGTATTTAGGGGAGGGGTTTAGCGAAAGGTCAGTTACCACCATATTAAACTGACGCCTAGACAGTTTCAGTTACTTTGGTAGTGATACCGTAGTACAAACTAATCCTGCATTTCTTTCCTAAAAAAATTAATCAAACACAAACTGCTTTCCAGATGTAGTTGTCTCATTAAATCAAGCTCTGACACTAACATTGCTTCTTGACAAACAGTTCTGACAAAGAACAGAACTAAATGTGGACAGAAGAGCTTGCAAAAGGAAAAGAAGAAGTACTTGAGTGATGATTTGGAGAAAAAGAATGCTGCTCAAATATTTCCCTCCAACCTCAGTATCCCCTAAGGGGCCCTAAACTCAGCTTAAAATGCAGCCTTGCCAGTTGCCAGTTGAAGATATATAGTTATGAACCGAAGTAACATCGTAATTATGACGCAAAAAACACAGGTGGAAATAGTTGGCATATGCATAGAAAAATAAATAGAACTGCATATGTGCAAAGACTGAAAAAGTTACATGAAATGAAAAGCAATGCAAACCATCTGGATTGAAGTTTTTCACTGTTTTCGGTTGCTTACTTGTCTATTTAGGATGATATCCTGAATTTTTCTTATAATTTGTTTTTCCCCAGAAGTCCATTTAAGATATTCTCATATTAAAAACAATCCATTTTCCAATCTCTCTTTTCACCCCTTAGAATTAAACAGGCTGTGCCTTTAAGACTGATATATGCAATTGAGCTCTGTTCTGATTGGCTGTCCTGCACTGTGCCTCACTGAAAAAGCAGCTTGGGCACAAACACTTAGAAACATAATGTGAAACTGCTGTGGGCTTATTAGGTGGATATAGAGTACACTGTTAAAAATGGCTTGTCAGTTCCACCTAAAAAAAAAAAAAAAGCAACTGAACTTCGAATTTTGAATTTTATTCAACTCCCAAAATTACATTCATTGAAAGAATCGCTTAATCAAAGTATTTTTTAGGTTGAATATAATTAATTTACTTGTCACCACATGAAGTAATTTTGACGAGCCATTTTTTACAGTGTATGCAAATGCATTGTTTTTTGTAAAATTACAAAACCAATGGATTGAAAAAGCACATTACCGTCCTGTAGTTTTACCATAGTGATGTTTACATAGTACATTAAACTCTTTCATCAAAAAAGAGAATTTTCATAATACAGGCCCTTTAAAGATTTTTGGCATCTCTACATTTTTTAATTGTGCTTGTCAAATACGCAAATATGTAAAAAATGGAATGGCAGCTTCTTTTCACCTCATTCAGACTCCAGTATTCATGATCAAAATGAACTTTATCAGTCTCATCGTTCTGTCATTAACTTCCAGAGCCAGTCCATATATTACGCCAGTCTGGAGGGATGGCTGCCTGTACTCCAAGCATGGCTGGAGCATAAGGAATCTGGGGTGGTATCTGCATGTGGAACGCATATAAACTGAAGAGTACATCTGAATGTGCACGAGTATGAAGGCATGTTGTCAGAAGAAAGGTTCCAATGCTGTGGTGTTTTGCTGTCCACATAAATTATTAATGATAAATCACTCCTACACACCTCCAACAGTCTCCACCAATCACTGCGCCCTGCCTGTTGCGCTCTTCCTGGCCCCGCCCACGTCCCCCTGCAGAAGACCCCAGCTTTCATCCTCGCTGTCCCCGCCTCTCTCCCTTTCCTCCTCTCCGCACTCGTCCTCTTCATCGTCCTCCTCCTCAGGGGCTGAATCTTCATCCCGCTCGCGCTTGATGGCCTGGATGGCAGGGGGCGGTAGCGGGGCAGCGGCCGCACTCTCCCCGGAGTCGCTGCTCTCCTCGTAGACCTCTGGGTTCTCCAGCATCTCGCGGATGAGAGGAGGCATGGGGCCTGGGATCTCCATCTTCAACGTGATGGCTCGTTCCGCTCCTACAAACGCAGGAAGAGATATTGGATGGGTCTTTTAATAATGACATTAATATTTAGTAATACAGGATAAATATCGTCGCTGTTTTTACAAAACAGAGAAAAACACTGCTACAGTTGTATGTGAAAGTTTGAATACCTCTGGTAAAACTACATGTTTTGTGTGAAAATAGGTTCACACATCCTCTACAGGCAACAAACTTAAACATAAAACACATTTTTTTTCCACAGGCCGCATATTATGTTTTATTTTTCCCCTGTATGTTAAATTCAGCACATCAACAGTAGGCTGAGTAAGCTTAAGCCCCTCCAAAGAAAAAACATACATAAACCATTTCAGCCTTTTTTGATTATCAATTATTTCGTTTTCTATTTTATTTTACACAACCTTTTACAAACCCAATTCCAAAAAAGACAGTAGGTACAATGCAAATAAACAGAAAGCAATGATTTATAACTCAATTTCTACCTGTTTTTGAATGAAATTTAATGTCAATTTAACGTTTTATCTTATCAATTTCATTGTTTTTGTAAATACACATTCACTCTGAAATTGATGCCTGCAACGTATTGCAAAAAAGTCGGGACAGGAGAAATTTAGGGCTAGGAATGTTATTAATTATGTCCTTTATGAGTGAGGATGGGTTGAGCGCGCTACTTTGCCAAAATGCATCAGCAAAAAATCTAATATTTCAGGAATCAGGAGAAATCTCTGTACATAAAGGGAGAGGCCAAAAACCACAACTGCATACTGACCAGTGTTCTTCAACCCGTTAAATGGCACTGCATTAAAAAAGACATGTCTCTGTGAAGGAGATCACCACATGCGCTTGGCAATACTTTGACAAACTGTTGTCAATAAACATCTTTTGTTGCTGCTTCCACAAATGTGAGTTAAGTCTGTACTCTGCACAGTGGAAGTGTTATGTCAACAATGTCCAGAAACACTGCCGACTTCTCTGGGCTTGAGCTCATCTGAAATGAACTGATGCACAGTGGAAATATGTACAACCTTTCAGATGGTTATGGACTAATGTACATCATGTTTTCTGAGCCAAAGAAGAAAAGGACCATCCAGATTGTTACCAGCATAAAGTTCTAAATCCAGTCTCTGTCATGGTGTGGGGGTATTAGTGGGTAGTTTGCACATCTGTCAAAGCACCACTAATGTTGAACATATTTTTGAGCAACATATACTGCTTTCTAGACGCCATCTTTTCTAGGACCCCCACACGCTTATTTCAACATGATGCAAGGGCTTGTTGCAAGGGCTCAACTGTGCATTAACATGTGCAGAAATGTGTTCTCTGCAGAGGATGTGCTAACTTATTTTCACTTCATCAACAAAACATGTCATTTGACCAGGGGTGCCCAAACTTTTGCATTTGACTGTATACTTATTGCTCAACAATGTACAGTAGTATCTATAGTGGTATACAGTGATGCTTACATATCGTGATATAGTTTTTCAGATATGCCTTATATGTAGTAGGGCTGGGCAACAGACAATATTTATCATGATCACGATAAATTTAATCATGATCATCTTTTCTGAGTGTATCGTGGATATTGTCAATACTTAGAAAAGAGCATAATTAGTCGTGTTTAATCGGATTTAGTGCAGTGCTGTGTGTGAAACATTAAACAAAAATCATTTGTAATCTGCACCTGAGAAAAATCTTGACTCCAATCTTCATTTGGGCAGTAAGTGTTTATGTGCTCAGAAAAACAGCAATATTATAATGAATATAAATAATGATATAGGAATAGTGTTTTTATGTATATTAATGTTTTCCTTTAACCCTTTCTGAACTTCTCCTCGTGGAAGAACAGTATTATTTGTAGTTATAATCCAATACCTGCTTTATTTAATCAATGCTTCATTATGTTGTTAATATTTATTATGTGATGGTTGAAGTGAAGCAAGAAGTGTTGTTCTATCCAGACTATAAGATTAACTACTTTTTTCAAAATAAGAAATTCACTGTTTACTGTGTTTATATTTATTTGTATTTATTTGTATTTAATTTAATTTAACACTTACTGCCAACATAAAATGCTTTAAAATATATGTACATATTTTAACAAGATTTGCCATATTGCCCACCACTAGCTTGCAGCAATATATGCACAGAAATTTTGTACATTTCACACATGGTATCCAGAGTGTGTGCAGGTGAGAGCTGACCTTTAGTGCTGATGCCTCGGAGGTCGGTGACCTTCATGAGCATGCGAGGGAACATGTGTGGTTTGTTGGGGCGTCTTCTTCGGGCATAGATCTTTAATGCTTCCAGCAGAGGCTCCTGTAGCCGGTCCACTCTCTGAGGCTCCTCCAAGTCCATGCGGTCTAAACAAACCCCAAACAGCCAAGAGAGAGTGGAGAGTCAATAACAGTGAGCAAACAATCACAGAAAAGTACTGAGACTAGAGAGTGGCAGCAGAGGAGAGACTGGACAGCAGAAGTCAGGTCAGGCCAATCGTGACTGGATCCAGTAACCAACAATACATGACTGGCCACTTAATTACAAACACATACCTCGTTGGTACACACTGTAGATGTTCAGTTAAAAACTAAAGGTCATCTTTTTCCATGCACGTTAGCCATCCGCTAACCCTTCATCAGTGGTTAGTATTTGACCACAGAGCCATTCTTGGCCAGATATTTTTGGTTGTCAGGCTTTTGATAACCCAGCAGTGTCACTGAGGTGTTTAAAGTCCATATACACGACTATGTACCAGTGTGCTGATGATGGGTCACCACTGAAATAATATCTGGTCAGTGGTGGTCCTATAGTGGCCCCTTTCCAATTATCTACAGTTGGGCTACAGCCTCTGTCTGTAAACTTGTTTGTGCAGGTTACTCATTTTTCAAATTACACAGAAACTTCAACAACTAAATCTAATCTCAGCTGTTTGAGTCTTCAGTGTGTCACTCTTTACCTTCACACCAGCTTCCATTTGTTTTTAGGAGACTCTCTTTCAGTTTCTCAAAGAAATCTGCAGACACACCTCCAAAGTTCAGTCTTAGAAGTTGTGGTAACCCTTTACTGTTGGGTACTGTTCATAAGGCTATATAACCTACATAAGCTTATAATGACAACTGACATAACCCTACACAAATGTTTATGAATGCTTATTCCAACACATCTCATCTGTCATAAAGACTACTTTGATCAAAATTGGCAGATGTAGCCTTTATAGCAAATCACACCTATTGGAATAAGCATTTATGAACATTTATGTAGGGTTATGTCAGATGTCATGGCAAGCTTATGTAGGTGTTATGTAGCCTTATGAACAGAACCCTACAGTAAAGTGATACCCATTTACACTGGTCCCTCCATAAAACTTAACTCCACATCTCAAATGTCCAGTTTTGCTGTTCTAGTGCAAACCTGAAATCTGAGGCAAGAAAGGAGCTTGATTTTCTCCTCTCTCTAAGATGAAAGCTTTAAGCACTGTTTATGTGATGAGGACAGATTTGGAGTCTACCAGGTCTTCTAGGTGGTTGTTAAGAGTCCCATTTTCGCTGTAGCTTTTAATAGCATTTAATAATTTCTAGCATTGGAAACTTCTGTTTTTTCCTTTCTTATGCAACTGGATAATTTTCGATTAATCTGATGAACACTTTAATGATGGAAAGAACCCTTTAATCATGCAAAGGGTTCTTTGAACGTTCAAAGCTCTATATAGAACCATTGTTTTTACTACAGAACCCTTGAAGAGCCATCTTTGTTAAGAGTAGGTATCTATAACAAACTAGCAACTCTGTTTATAAGCAAAATCTCAGCATGCAGGCAGATTTTATAGGCAGTTTGAGCGATGCATGACAAGACGAACTCTGACACAAACGAATCAACTTCAAACTCAAGATAACAAGCAGCAAAAACTTTGAGAAAAAAGTGTCGGCCAAACGAATAAATGTAAATGTAACATCACTATAAAGTTTTCCCTCAGCTGTTAATCAGTTTACGTTTAGTGCTACTTGTGTTTTACATGCAGTTCAGTGTTTACAGTGTGTGAAACTTAACAGAAATGGGTGACTGCATTACCTCCACAAATGAGGCAGATGGCGCTGAGGAGACCAGTCTCTGTGTCGTCCATCTCAAGAGGAAGGAGCTGGCCAGCGAAGGCGAACACAAGGTCAGTGAGGGGACCGAAACCGGCGTTGTGCATCTGTGTTCGGTTAAGAGTCAGCCCGTCCGAAAAGGTCATGGTGTCCTGCTCTGGAGTGTACCTCGTACAGATCCGCAACATCTGAGGAGAAAACATGGAGGAGTGCTGATGAATATCAGTGAAAAAGAGTGACATTTGATAATGAAGAGGAGGAGAATAAGAAAGAGGCATATAAAGCATTATATTATCTGCATTGAATGCATATAGGTGAGCATGAGTTCTTAAACTGAAAGCAGTGTTTTCCATTATCTTTGTGGTTATTATGCCAAACTGGATCGATATTTTAACTGCTGGTATCTATTCAGTGCACTGAATAGGCACTTACTTTTGGCAGTATTCACTCACTCACTCACTCACTCACACACACACACACACACACACAGACACACACACACATACACACACACACACACACACACACCATCTAAACCGCTTATCCTTCTGGGTCACGGTGGGGTGCTGGAGCCTATCCCAGCAGTCATTGGGCGGAAGACAGGATACACTCTGGACAGGTCGCCAGTCCATCGCAGGGCAGACAGACAGACATACACATTCACACACACACACTCACACACACCTAGGGGCAATTTAGCATGTCCAATTGGCCTGACTGCATGTTTTTGGACTGTGGGAGGAAACCGGAGAACCCGGAGGAAACCCACGCAGACACGGGGAGAACAGGCAAACTCCAGTATTCATGTTTATGTAAAATATTTACTTCATGTTGAAATGATGTAAACATATGAAGCAAGTAAATTAAATGTGTTACCTTGCTCAGTGAGTGAGCATGAATACATTTACCCAGTCATTATTTTTATTTTAGTTTTGTATTTGGTTTTAATTTTTTTATGGCTTAGCATCATTGCAGGTATTTAAAAATGCCATAATGTTAAAAACAATCATTATTTTATAATGAAATGTGAAAAAATGACAAAGAACAACTGTAAGAAAAATATCAATACTTTAGAAACCTAAAACAGCTATCTGTCTGTCTGTCCCTGAGTTCCACTGATTTTATGTTTTTTTACTGCATTTTAAATCAGGTTTTTTCTCTATGTGAAAAAGCACAAAACAATTACGCAAAAAAATTAAACATAAGCCTCGGGTATGAGTTCAGGAGATATTTCTGAGATCAGATATAATACACTTGCAAAGATAAATAAGTGAAAGAACAAGAAAGGACAAGAAAAACATCTGCAAATCAAAGAAGCTGCTGGTGTTTGGGATTACTTGGATGGTGAGAAGCAGAAAATGTTTAACCAACTTCTAAGACTGAACTTTGGAGGTGTGTCTGCAGATTTCTTTGAGAAACTGAAAGTGACTCTCCTGAAAAGAATGGAAGCTGGAATAAAGGTAAAGAGTGACACACTACAACTTGTTTCTTGTCAGCTGAAATGATCTCAAATCTAGTCTAATATTTGTAATATTTCTCATTTTGAGACTGTTTTCAGTTTATTACATTCAGTAAGTCAAATTATCTCACTATACTGGCAGATAATATTTCTAGCTTCAAGTAAAATGATCTGTCAAAATAGTGAGATCATTTGAGATACTAAAATCTCAGAAAACAAGCAAAAAAAAATCTATAACCAAGTTAAATACTCTTATAATTAGCTTACAACAATCTTGAAACCATTTTCAGTGTAAATACTGAAACATCTGATATTAGATTTAGTTGTTGAGGCTTCGGTGCAATTTTCTGTTGGCTATATGTTTTTATGCTTGTACTTGATGGCTGTTTTGACTGGTAATTAAATAAATGAATGGTGGTCTCTGTACACTGTAGACTTTTAGAGATAAAGGTTCTGTGTAAGTACGTTTTTCGTTTATCAAGGTACAAACAATGTAAGTGGTACAGCAGTGGTTTTATGGTCCAATTGTGAACCTTAAATAAGTTTTTCCAGGTGTATTTGTATCTTTTTCATAACCTAATGTTTTAAAACAGAACAATAAAAAGCCTGGAGACGGGGTGTGTGGAGTCAGTGGATTGTGGTACAATTATGTTCCCTGATTAAAGATGTACCCTTGAGGGTACCACCCCAGTGACAAGAGGGGTACTGCCCTACTGAGAGTGTAGACTATATACTGTATGAGCAGTAATTCTTACCAGGATGTCGAGGCAGGCAGATTTGAGCAGGGTTATCTGGTCTGCGATAGTGAGGGAGGTGAAGCCAGGCAACCGCTTGGCAAACTCCACTATCTTTATAATGCACTTAGTGGAGAGCTCACTGAACTTGTCCCACAAACCCAGATCCAGCTGCACCCTGTGATCTGCGCTCGAGTTCTACACAGAGAAAATAAAAAGAAAGAGGCACAGTGAAACAGACATGTATTCTTTGTCACTGTTGTAACAAAACCTTGCATGTCTGAAATGTTAACTTTACAGAAATTGTTTTTAAACTTAATGTACACAATCCAGTCAAACGTTTTGGACACCTAATCACAGAAGGGTTTCCTCCCTTTCACTACTTTCCACATTTTTAAATAACAGTGAAAACAAAGCAGTGAAACAACACATTGAAAAATACAGTGACAATAAAAATCCAAATCTTCTATTGTAGATTATTCTGTACTATTTTATCAGGATATAACAGGATTTTAGAAAGGATTTTTATCCATCTGATGTTTGGGGGGGGGTTCGGGAGAAATCTGGAACAACACTTTGTTCTTCAAACTAGCTCCCAAGATGTCAACTACTTTTTGGACTAGAAATCGTTGTATTTTTTTTTATAGTATTTATGTTTATTTGCATTTATTCTAATAATATGTGGTGGTTTTACAAACAGAAACACAATTATTGCCAAAATAAATGATTTTAAAAATGTGCTTAGGTGCCTGAAATTTTTTGTACAGTACTGAATATATATATTTTGTATTTGTCTTAGAAATTCATTTGCATATAAGCGAATTTCTTAGATTTAATGTCTTTAAGATTATTAAAAACAGTCTACATGAGTGTGTCCAAACATTTGACTTATAATACAAAACGTGAATTTTGGACCATTTCTTTTGGTCCATTCATCATGAGATGTGCAGACATTATAAAGGGCAGCTGTATTCAAATAATTTAAAAAATAAAAAATGAAAGATTCGAGCACGGTTATCTGGTTTGGATATGATGACAGCTGTTACTATCCAGCTTTATGTCTTATACAAAGCTTGAAAATGCCAGCTGCCCATTGTGGTTTTGTACTGTCTCCCTGTATTTCAGCTTTTCATGCTCAAATGCAATGTTTTTGTGAAAATATCTGTAAACACACAGCTCAGTGGACTGTGTAGGACCATTTGTAGCCCTGAGACTCACAGTAGTGTATTTCCCCAGCTGACATAGTGAAGGGAAGGTTTCTCTGTGGGCTTTGCTGACTTTGTTGACCAACTCTTCCAGTTCTCCACTCAGCTCGTAGCTTTCTGGCAAGACCACCTCCTCCTTCACGTCCTTCTTCTTCTTATTCCGGTCATTCCGCACCGCTGATGGAGAGAGAGTGAGTGAGAGGGTTCACTATCTATATCAAACAATCAGCACAATTTTAGAGCAGTAACAGTAAATCTGCAGCCATCTTACAGGTGATCAATTCAAAAGTTGCTATGTTAATAGTGAAATTGTCCCCCTTTGCTGCAGTAACAACCTCTACTCTTCTGTGAGGCTTTACACTAGATGTTGAACATTGCTGTGAGGACAGTTTCACAGTGAGCACAGTTCTGGATCACTCCAACTCATCCCAAAGGTATTGGATGGAGCTCCATCACTCCAGAGAACGCAGCTCCACTGCTCCACAGCCCAATGCTGGGAGGCTTAATACCCCTCTAGACCATCCTTGGCATTGGGTATGGTGACCTTAGGCTGCTCCAGAGCATCCGATTCTATTAGTCACTGCTTTTCTATGGACATTATACACCTTATAATAAATGAATGTGCTACTTAAAGTAGCTGCATTGTCTTATTAGAAGGACGTGTGGATAATTTTGGATTTACAGACCTTATCAGCTAAATATGACATTTTTTTTAAGCAGTGAACCGGGAAAGTAATGGATAACCCCAGTTATGCTTCAATTCTAATATTGGATGCCCTCATGTTTTGCATGTGTGCAATGTTTTCCTAATTTAAAAACAGGTTAATAAATACGGGTAAACAAAGTACATAAATCAGTATTTGAGTGAACGTAGTGACATCCTAGGTAAAATATTACTTATGTAAAAATATAAGAGCTCTATTAACATTTTTACTTGACTTAAAGTACAAAAGTACTTTCTTTTAAAGGCAGTTGAGCAAAAGTTTTGTGAAAAATTTGCATTCTAATGATCCCACATTTCTCCTTTTGTGTTTCAGTTTAGGAAATTGCTTTTTTAAAAGAAAAACAACCTTATAGCATTTTCTTTAATTGTGACAGCTTGTCAGAGCTGCTCGGGTCTAGTTACAGTTGCTAAGCTATGATTGGACAGTCAGTATTTGGGGTAGGGGTTTAGTGAAAGTTAAATGCTGTGATTTGCTTGATTTATTAGTGAGAGTGCATCATATTAGTATGTATATTATGGAAAAGCTGGTGTTTACTTCACAGTATCTTGCAAAAAGCAGTGGAAAAAGTAAAAAGGAAGATATTTTACTGTGAAATCCAGCAGTAAAAGTAAAAATCTCCAAAAATAAGAACAGATAATTGAAAAAAACACTTACATACAGTAATAAAGAACATGTACTGGCTAACAAACAAACAAATACATAAATAAATAATTAAATAAATAGACAAATCCTGCTGGACCTCAGCTCAGAGTGGATATCCTGAGAGGAAGGAAAGTGTGGGATGCTTCTGGCAGAGGGCTAGAGTCAGTGGCTAATGGCAGGAAGGTCTTTCCCAGTGCGTGACATACAGAATTAAAGGTCCCATATCAGGGAAAAACAAACTTTCCTCAATTTTTGTAATAACAGAGTTTGAAATAGCCTGTTTTGAATTCTTTCTTTTTTGTGATGTCACAAAAACCAATGCATTTACATATATCCGCCTATTAAGCCTAAATCAGTTTAGCTCCGCCCACTCACACTGAAGGAGTGTTTCAGCCCAGACTGCTTTCCGAACAAGGCACAACACAGGTCAGCCAATCAGAACAGAGCTCAGTTATGTATATGATATACAGAGTTTGGAAGATGATCATGTAAAAATGAATGATTGTTTTTGGTAGTTAACAAACATCATTAGTTGGCCCTGAGGAACAAAACTAAAGCACATGAAAAATACAGGCCCTTCAACACAGGCACACAGACTTTTATCACTCAGTGGGAGCACATTATGATTGATGGTGATGATGCAGGCTGTGTAGGACACCATCTCTGGAGTTACATGGTCTACAGTACTGTTTAAATGTTTAGATGTTTTTAATAATAATACAAATCTGTATAAAAGCTGTTTATTGTATTACTCTGCAGTGCACAGTCACTAACAATTGGTAAAATGGCAAGTGATTCCAAAGTTTAGAATGGTGGAGTGGTAGAAAAATGGCTCGTCCAATCAGTGCCTACTCTTTGCACGTTACGCTGGAAACAATCAGTGTATACTTATATTCTTCTTATTCTTCTTAAGAATACTTAAAAAAACACACAAATACTTTTCCATCAGGTTTTCTCTTTCTTAGTCAGTGCAGATCACCTGCTATGCCAGTAGTGATGTTAAGACAGGGAACCCCTTTCTTTGACCTTGTAAGCTCTTTTTCTAATATCATCTAAGAACTGACAGCCCCAGGTTAGATTCTCTTACCTGTAAAGGAATAAACAGAAAAGCTAACATCTCAGAGCCTTGCAGGTGTGCGTCTCCATGAGCTTCTGTTCATTTCTACCTTTCATTACTAAAACACTGGGAACTAAATGAATTATTCACTCCTCCTCACCTTCTTTAGACATGCCGACCTCAAAGCACTTCTGTAAGCGACAGTACTGGCAGCGGTTGCGGGTCACCTTGTTGATCTGGCAGTTCTTGTCTCTGTGACAGGTGTACACCATGTTCTTCTGGATACTGCGGCGAAAGAAACCCTGAGAAAGAGAAGGAGAGAGACAAGAAAAAAGACTAGTTTAAAAATACTCTGTTTGTTTATTGATTTACTTACTTGCTTACTTGCTTTACATCTGACAAACGATTGCTTTACATCATTTGCTGAGCTGCAATTCCTTGATTTACTCATCAATTAATATCTATTTCTTTAATTCAATACATTTTTTATTCTATTTTCATTTTCACCCTTGTCTCTTATGAACGTGCTCTTTTGTGCTTTCTTCTTCTGTTGTAAAGCACTTTGCACTGGATTTTAATGTATAAGATATGCTATATGAATACAATTTATTAGTAGTATTATCTGCAAAGTCTAAGATGGTCTTGTTTAACCTTTGAAACCTGTTAAATCTAATTTAGATTTAGGGAGTGGTTGACCGGGTTCAACTGTGTGTGCTTGTTGGAAAGGGACCCAGTGTGTCAGACTTAGATTATTAACTGGTGAGCTATAATTGTGCCCTCCAGATTCTTTGGTAGGACATCTATGTTCCAAATAGAGCAAGTGTCAGAATCACAGCCAAAGACTGTCAGTAACTGCTGTAACAAACTCCACCACTAGGGTGCAGCACTTGACCATTTAAAACAAAGGTTTCCATCTGGTCCAGCTTTTTTACTTCCATTCGTTGTCACAGCCAGAAATGTACTGAAAGGGGAATTCCATTGATTTTTAAAAATTTCTACACAATTAAGTGGTTAAGATGTAAACAGAGTAGCTCAGAGTGGTTTGGTGTGATGAAATGGTCCACTCTAGAGAAACTTACTGAGTCAGAATTGTTTACTCTGAAAGCTCCTGCACAGAAAGTTGTTACATGAAATAGCTGTGAAATGATATCTGAGACATTGTGTTAAAATAGTTTTGGCCTAAAACTTATATTTTCAGCCAATTCATGGTGGAGGGTTACATGCAGGGCAGGATTCCCAAAGAAAACTTCAGGTTTTTACTATTTTACCATCATCAACATTCCATATAAAACACAGAAGACATTTGTAGGTTCACTGGTGGCTATAGATAGTAAATAAATTGGCTGTAAGCCAGGCCCTCTCGACCAATATTAGTGTCTGACCCCACAAATGCTCTTATGACTAAATGGGCATAAATCCCAAACACTCCAAAATCTTGTAGAAAGCTTCCCAGTGGAGTGGAGACTGTTATAGCTGCAAAGGGAGGCAACTCCATATTAATGCCCATGAATTTAGAATGAGACACCCCACAAGCTCATACAGGTGTGATGCTCAAGTGTCCACATACTTTTGTCTATGTAGTGCATCACTGCGGTGGATGTGGATGTCGCTGAGGGCCTCCAAATGTTTAGAAAAGGTTCTCTGCTTGTTTGGGAACCTCTTTGGAACACATTTAAAGAGTCAGTGCCATCTTCATTTATTTCTAGAGTAGATATTTTGATCTGCATGTGCTGGTACAGCTTGTTTAGATAACGCTTGTTTGTGCACACTCGTGCTTTGATGCTAAACTGCGGCACACTGATTCATACTGAACTGAACTCAGTGACCTGAACTAAATGACTGAACCCAACAACCCGAAACAAATCAAACGGAACAGACTTGAACTGAATCGAACTGTGTAGCTGTTAGTTGACCGTAATAAAAAATAAGATTTTTCAACATTTCAGCAACATTACAGAGTCAGACATTTTCACAGTGGTGGTGATAGGAACCAGACATCCACCTCTAAAAGCTACCTGACAGAAAGTTATTAAATGAAATGGTTATGAATTCACTGCCTGATGTCTGAGACATTTGTTTTACGATTGTTTTTAGAAGTTTTTGGTGTAAAACATTTATTTTTTGATCCATTCAAGGTGGAGGGATCCATATAAAACTTGTATAATAAAAGACACGTGTAGGGTCACTGAGAGGTTCACGAGATGGTTTCAGATAGTAAATAAAATGTTTTTATTTGTGTTGTATTTTTTATATTTCAACCACTGAACCACTGCTGAAACTTGGTGAAAAATTGAAAAATTGGTGGGGACAATTTCACTATTAAAAATAGTGAAAATAAAATCTCTTTAAGAAAGTGGAAGTCACTGACTGGCTGATGTGGTTCAAAGCTTCCAGAGTAGGAGGTCCTCACCTTGCATCCTTCACAGGAGCTGACTCCATAGTGGTAGCCTGAGGACTTGTCCTGGCACACAAAGCAAGGCTTGTAGACCCGAGGGGGAGGGGGTGGAGAGGGGGAACTGGGCACCATCTCCTCTGAACTCGTACTTTGAGTTTCCACCGCTGCAGAAAGAGAGACAAAGGAACATTAAGCTTTTGAAGTCAAGAATTATTGATGTCGTTTTGCTATACTGTTTAAATGTAATTGCATAATTAATGAAAATTACATAATATAATCTGTGCAAAAGTTTGAACACCCCTGGTCAAATGACATGATTTTCCCAGGAAGTTAACACAACCTCTGAAATATGGCATTTTTCTGCAGATTTTAGCGCACAATTTCTATTTATTTACTTTAATAAAAAGTTTAAAATATTGAAGAAAAGTAAAATATAATGTGACGTAAGCTTTACACAAGCCAGATTTTATTTTTATTTTTTCTGCTATGTTAAATTCATCAAATAAACTGTAGTTGTGCATTAGAAGTGTGTCTAGGATGTGCTCACTTATTGTCACTTAGAAAACCAACAAAAACATAAAAAATCAATCAGAGTGGACAAACTGCATATGACTGTAAATTACATTTCTTTTGATTTGCATTCTGTATAAACAGGTACTAATATGCTGCTGTTTGTTTCAACATGAGAAAATGACAAAAAAAGGCAAAAATTGTAAAGGATGTTTTCTGGATGCACAACAACTTTTAATCAGTCAGAATCACTTTATTTGGCCAAGTGTGTTACACATACGAGGAATTGGTGTTGGTGAGTCACACACGTATGACATGAAACACACTGAACAGACCAGACAAGCATACAGACTGTTAACAAGTATTAAACTAAGGGAAAAGGAAAATAAAAATACAATAAATAAAATATAGAATCTTAATAAAAACAATGTGAAAGGAGCTCAGTAGATGTACATATGAGACGTATGCATATCTGTACATATGCAGATATGAATGTCTGCACGTATGCAGGTCAAGTAGACATTTTTTAAAAATACACTTTAAAACTATTATATACAGAATGTTACAATGTGACATAAACATTTGTAAAAATTAACTTGTACAGTAAGCATAAGCATAATGCTACAGGAGGAGTTAGTGTAATACTGTAAGGAGGTTTGTTGGTTCAGTTTACGTTTAAAGTGTGTTGGTTGATGAGCGCTGTGGACATTTTTCATCAAACCCAAATGATGATAAAATATCTCCTCTTGTACTTACAAACACAAATGTCATGTGGATTGAAGGTTCTTCAATTCCACTGCTATGAAATCCCATGTAGTGGGTCTCTTGTTGGATGGCATTTATTGCAAAAGAGCTGAGCGCTGAGGCGAGAGACATGAGCAGGAGTCAAACGGCTTATGTTTTGCAAAGAAGGAAAAATTAAATCTCCGTAAATATGTAGAAATTAGCATCTGTAATTAGCAGCGCTGCTAGTGTTAGTGCTTATTTGAGCCATAATTCCTTTATTTTCTTAATATTTGTGTAGTATGGGTTTTCTCAACGTTCAACTTTTTACGAGGCTAAAATCAGCTTCTCATTCGCCAGCTTCTTGTTCATACTTTCCTGTTCCACCTTAAATGATGCCTAAGGCGCCAGAATGTAACTGCTGCACCATTTAAGGTGGAAGGGGAAAAACTGAATTAGAATATGACTTCAGCTTTGTGACTTTTTCATGTTTGACAGCTTCTCATTGCAGATTAAACGTATCAGGAAACCAGCTGGAGTGATTATAAATGCAAATAATTTGTCTCCAAATTATCGATGTTCGTCTTAAATCTTTCTCTTCACGTTTTCGCTAGCTACTGACTAGGCGAGACTGTTGTCTGTGTTGCTAGAGTGACCTGCAGTCTGCGCACCAACCTTTAGGGTTAAAGGGCGAATTAGCAGTTATACATTAACTCCAGTGTTTAAGACTGTAAAGGCGGATTATTTTATTTTTACCTAAAAATCTAATTCTGCTGTGGAGCCACATGTTGCTGACCTCCTGGTATAGAACCTTTACAGTATTTGGAGGTTCTTTCAACCTTTTAAAAGGTTCTTCATTCAACACTGAATCAATGTTCAACAGGGTCAGTTTTTCTAGTGTTTAATGGCCCATAAAACAAGCAAGATCAATCAGAATTCAACAGCAGAGACCTACTTTCATTCAGTCAGACTGCTCAACATCAAATCAACACTGTTTTAATTACTAAAATTTCACTCTCTGGGTTCTTAAGCACTCTGTGGAAACGTGAGCCATGTTCTGCATTAATCTGGAATGCGTCTGTATACAGTACAGTACACAACCCACTCTGACTCTAACTCTGAGTGAAAGGCAGAATCATCAACGTCTGTCTGGTGCCATTAACAGATGAAGAGCGACTACTCGAGACAGAGGGTCCCGAGCTCAGGGGGTGAGCTGGAAGGCAAATATTTTCCGAGCCCAGCTAGAGGTAGGGGTGCTGACTGATGTGGAGAGAGACAGAAAAGCTGAGAGTGAAAGACAAAAAAATGAGCTGTAGGCCAGATGGCGAGATTGATAAGATTGTCTGGGGCAGAGCAGCTTTGACTGACACGGGACTGTATGTCTGCGTGCACACATTTCAGATCAGAGAATAATAGGACAAACAAAAGGCATTTTACAAGAACTCTACATCCCCGGACACATTACGAAAACATACTTCTGCATACTTTAGAGTACAGTTATAGATGAGTTATAGATGTTGTTTTGCTGTACATCCCCGGTCAAATTTGGTGATTTTATAAGCAACATTAATACAACCTCCTAAATACAGAATTTATCTGCAAGTTTGTGTGCAAAATTTCTATTTATTTGCTGAGTTTAACATACTGGAAAATACTAAAACATAAAAAAAAATCATGACATAACTTGCACAGGCCACATTTTAAGTTTCATTTTTTCTTATGTGTTAATAATGTGTTAAATTCACCAAATACACAGTAACTGCGCATTAAAATGTGAAGTGTGTTCTTGTTAGACTTATTTTAAGTGCTTAAACTTTTGCACATGACTGTTTATAAAAACCCAGAAAACAAAAAGAAAATTTTGCTCTTTCAGTGTTAAAAAAATTTAATGTTGCCATTGCAGAAATCACTTTATAAAACCACTGGCACCTTTACCTTGTAGGTTTGTGTGTTTTTTTCTGGTTCTACCAAAAATTCAGGACATTTTCCTCAAAACGTACAACAGAACAGTGCTGTGTAGCTGCAACTGATGTCACTTGGTTCAACTTTCACCTTTTGCCACCCTCTATCCTGCCTCTAACCCCCCTCCAAACCATCCCCCCTCCTCTATCATGTTTCCTGGACCCTAAATTCCTCAGGCCCGGCTGGCTGGCTTTTTTACTGGAGGTCCAGGCTCATAAGCTGCCCTATAAAGGCGGTCTGTAGGCTGGAAAGGGGGCCTCCGGCCTGGTTGACCGGAGCTTTATTGGTACCAGGTCACCTTGGCCAGCCATTCACGCCATTGCCAGCTGTCCCCCTGGCTCCCTACTTATAAAAAGAAGGGGAAAAAACAGCCAAAACAGGGCTTCTTCAGAACTCCAACTTTTATTGCTCGCAAACAGCCCCCCCAAAAGCCAGTGCCCTGAATGGATACCACAAGGCTGGCCCAAATGTGTCCCCTCTTTATCCCCCCGTTTCTCACACCACGGCCACTGTTTAACAAGGGTGGGATGACTTCAAAAAGAAAGACAGGAGGCCAGAAAGGGTGATCTAATAAAAAAGGAGGAAAGACAAATGAAGAGAATGTGAAGAACAGGAGGTAATGAGAGAGACAGACAGAGAGGCAGAATGAAAGCATGTCCATCTTACTTTGACCTTGGCTTTGACTGCACTTTGGTCACTCAACACTTGAACGTGAACTGAAAGTCATGGTAGGTGCCGACTGCCTAAATGGACGGACCATTCTAGGAAACATTTTGGAGGTTCTAGACTTTAAAAACGCCTTCTTCACACTCATACATCTAATTTGTGAAAAAAACATTTAAAGAACTATTAATTGAAAGGTTCTTTAGGGAACCGGATAAAGCAGGTCAGCACTGTACACTTTAAAAAACAAAGGTTCTCAGATGGTTTCTGGACACACACTTCCAGGAAACACCTTTAAGTGGTACAGAACTTTCAGGTTTTGTGGAGGTTCGTTAAACGTTTTTTTTTAAAAGGTTCCTCACACAACTCATTTACAAAGAGAACCTTTAAAGGACCATCCACTGAGGGTTATTTAAAACTTTAATTGGTATACAACCTTTACAGTATTTGAAGGTTCTTTCAACCTTTTAAACTTCAACCATCTCATTTACAAAAAACACCCCAAAAAACATCAAAAGAGATCCATTGAAGGGTTCTTTAGGAACCTAAAAGAAGCTCTGAACACTAGGAAAAATCTTTGATTGGTATGTAACCTTTAAAATTTCAACTTTTTAAAACGTTTTCCACACTTGCACATCACATTTTCAAAAAGAACCCTTAACCATCTGATAAAATGTTTTTTAGGGAACCAAAGGAAGAGGTTCAGCACTGAAGCCAGGGAAAAATCTTGTTTTTTAAATGGTACAGGACTTTTATATTTTGTGGAGGTTCTTTAAACTTATACTTTTTTTAAAAAAAAAGGTTCCTCACCATCTCAATCACAAAAAGAAGCTTTAAAGGACCATCCACTGAAAGGTTCTTTAAGGAGCCAAAAGAAGAAGGTCACTGCTGTACACTCTTAAAACTAAATGGTTCTTAGCTTGTAGAAGTATAATATAGGGAATAAAAACCTTGATTAGTATAAAACCTTTTCAGTATTTGGAGGTTTTCAACCTTCTAAAAGGTTCTTCACTCACACATGTCATTTACAGAACAATCCATTAATGGATTCTTTAGGGAGACAAATCTCATTTTCAAGTACTCTTAAAGACCCATCTAATGAAAGGTTCTTTATGGAGCCAACAGAAGAAGGTCAGCACTGAGCACAAGGAACTATCTTTAATTGTTTAACTGGTACAGAACTTATATATTTTTATATATCTTTGAACCTTTTAGAAGATCTTTCACTCACACACCTCATTTTCTCATTTTCAAAAAAAACCTTCAAAGAACCATCCATTGAAATGTTCCTTAGGGAACCAAAAGT